TTGATTCAAGTAGGTGCTTTAGACCACTGAGCCATCTCTCCAGCCCCCTAGCAGTACTTGTTGAGTCAACTCCAAAAGAGTTCATTTTAATTTATACAGCAGATCAATAAGTAACTTACTTCTTGTGTGATTGGCGGTCTGAACTGTTTGTGTAGTTCAATAATTATTCTTAGACAAATAAGAACATTTTCTTCATTTTCTGTCTTTAAAGAAAAAAAAAATTAAAAGTTATACTTCTGAAGATTTAATCTCAAGAATAAATTTTCTAAGCATTTTCTGCATACATAACACTCCATCAACCAACTTACAGTTATCTGCTAACAATTCATAAACCAGTTCAAGGACAACCCATGTCAAGGTTTGTATCTAGGTGTCCTCCCAAAGCCTCATGAAGTCATGAGATGGCTTCTGGAGTTTGACTGATATTGTGGGTGTGGATGCTGCACCTGCCCTGGGGCAGGTAATTTGCATTACAATATAAGGAGGAAAGAGAAGCTGGCTGCCTGAGCTGTTGCTACTCTTCCTCTGTGCTCTAGCTCACCATGGAAAGTTACCTTCTGCTATATGCTGCTTTGCCTTGGAGCCAGCTGAATATGTACTGAAACCTCCAGTAACTGTGAGTTAAATAAACCTTTCCTTCCTCCACTAGCAAGCTTTGTGAGAATATAACTGACAGATGAATGAACTGGTGTATATGGCAAGTCACACCAAGAACTAATGTCTTAAAGACCACAATGACCCTATTCACTACTTAGAAATATGGAGGCTGTGGAAAATTCCACAACTGATTTCATGTGATGAGTCACAGTCAAAACACAGATGCCAGGGGCCAGGGAGATGGCTCAGTGGAATAAGCACTTCCCTGGCAAGCGCAGGGGCCTGAGTTCAATCCCTGGTTCCGCAAAAAAAAAAAACAACACAGATGCCAGAACCTGGGAGATGGCTCAGTGGAATAAGTGCTTCCCTGGCAAGCGCAAGGGTCTGAGTTCAATCCCCAGTGG